AGCCCGACTTTTGCCTTTAAGTATTACGTAGAGTAGTGGCAGAGCACTTTCTGTACAAGCAACAGTAGCTCAAAAAAGTCCACAAGACTGTTTCCAAGTTCCATCACTAGGCTAACTAAGATATCCACTCCTTACAACAACGCATTATGTATTTGGGTGAGGCAGAGTCTTGGAATGTGCTTACAGCTTCTGGTTGATATCTGGGAGCAGTGAAAATGGTGATCAGTTTCCTATTGCAGAAGAACCCATAACCGGACATCATCATCTGAAATTAGCGACATTACGATCGCACCAACAGTACGATAATGGACCAGACCTTTGGAAAGAATGTGACGAACCTGGTGAGCACGAACAATCAAATCTACTCGCAACTTTTCACAACACTGGATCACTGTATCTTCGCCGAAAAACGTTGCTACTCCTCTGACTGTATTCGGAGCATAACTAAATCACAAGGGCCTTTGCATATACTGCAGAATTTTAGCAATAAGCAGTCACCACTGAATGTTTAATGATTACGTCCTCAATTTCACGGCTTTCCATAAAACACGCAGAGCACTAGAGTTTCGCGAGGCATTTGCAAAAGTATCACACGGGTTTAGGGTGAAAGCAGGATGGAAAACTGTCTGAGTTCTTCATGGCGACCAACCATACAGTTCCAGAAGCCTCGCAGTTTCATCGCACTTGGGTTTCACCAAATGGGCAATCTCATAAGAGATAGAAAATAATCATAAATGTTCTGCCTAACCGACTTCCGCGTTGCTTTGAAGTTTTACATGATGTCGGATCATCATCTCCTTCTTGCGCAATTACTCTTCCCGATACAAAGAGAGAGAGCCACAAAGCTCAAACGGTTTATCATTTGGGATCACTTCAGCTTTCTCGCTGAAGTGTGGGAGAGTTCCACTGTCGAAAATGAGGAATACCATCGGCCCAGCGAACATCTCAACGATAGTGCTGCGAAGGCAGAAAAAAACCGGGAGCGTCTCGGCTTAACTTGGCCGCATCAACAAAAGGTAATTATCAGATCACGTTCGACTCAGAGAAATTCTGCAGAGGCAGGAAATAAAGATTTGGGGAAGCGAAGTGCAGCAGTATTAGCTGAAGCAGCAGAGGCTGAGAGGATCGCGGGTAATGGGTGTAATCAGCCAGGATGTATATGTATAAATAAGTTCGTTCTCATGTTGTGACAAAGATTTCCATCGAGAAAGCGTTGTAAGTTCGGTTTCGGCCAGAAGTCAAGAGATGAGCAGCCGAAATGAATGCGTGCCAATTCTGAATAATCTCTTGTCATTTATGCCAGATGTGCTTGTCGTCCGCAATATAATTGCATAAGGTCAGCGAAGTGACGTTATTCGCTACTGATGCGTAGTGTGTGAGTATTTCGCTACACTTCGCTGTGGAAACCGAGTGAGCTTATCTCTTCTGTGTATTTGGGTGTCTTCCATACGGTCCTGACAAAAGGTTAGAAAGAAAGTAAAGCGGAGGAGGCGCTTGGTAGGGTAATGTCTTTGATGCAAAGAAGAGAGGTTTTGAGAAGATTCAACACGATCGACCATATCCATAGTTTTGCCGGACTCATTGTAGTGTCGCCAATGTACAAGATGTCGCTGTCACGTCCTTTGACTTGAAGAGGATCTCCGAATTACCTTCTTCGAGAACTCTACAGCAACTTCAACGACGAGGACCTCACCGGGTCATAAGGTCATCTGTGAAGAGTTTCGACAAGACGACATCATCTCAACCAAAATTTCCAAGGCCCCTTCAAGAACATCATGCGTCAAATGAAATAGGATGTCGTTTGTTGATCGAAGTTTGTTCATTAAATCAAACCTAGTTGTCAGATTTCACTCTGTCTTGACAGCGCCACGACCTCGAGTAAAGGTGCTCTAAAGCAGCTGGTCAGAGGCAGGCAAAATACCGGTTCAAACTCGCGCCATCGGCACAGGACCTTGGTTGCCTGCGCCTTCAAACTGCGCGCGAACCGTAGCCACGTCACTTCTCCGCCATTGCATCATCCTGAGCGGTCGCCTCTATTCGCCTCTCCGGTTATCGGACTTTCATCGCTGTTATTCATATTCCATCTTCACGCGATGACACCAGCTCGCCATATAATAGTTAGTTTGACTTTATCTTATATAACTTTACCTAAATATTAGCTTCAATCGTCTCGCCGGGAAGCCCTTAGTAGTTACCGCACCTTACTTCTCTTTTAGATCTTAGTTAGTCACATGAGGACTACACTTCGTCTTACTCATTCCGATAGTTCCTCTAACAGTATTCATCGCGTAGTTATTATTAACCGTAGTATTCTTCTTTCCTTGATTGCAATAGGATTTACATAGTACAGACTCTTTTCGTATAATTCTTTCTAGTATGTATTTGTCAATATTCTTATGTAATGTTTATTCAGGCGACATGAAGAAGTGTAATATCTAGGCGCATAACAGTCAAGTCTAACTCAGTCTACGCCGCGCACACGCCGCCATCAATCTCGCCTAGTCGATCCATTCGTGTCATCTTGGATCCTCTTCTTGTTCACTTGGCAGATCGACATCCTTCGCACTACTAGGCAATCAGCACGCGCCAGCACGCTTATGCCCTTTGGGCACAGGGAAGCAAGGCCTCTTGTCAACCCGCTGCAGGCATCAAGGACTTCGGTCAACAAGCATTCTTCGTTGCACGCATCTTCCCTTCAGAGGTGTTGTGGGCACCCACCGGAATCCCACGTTTTTGCCGTGTCTCGTCGGATTCGCCGATGCGTCTTACTCCACTGATCCGCCTGGCACGACACACTCTCCATCTTAGCAATCTCACATTTTTGGAGGTTTTTTTGTGTAATGAAACTTTTCAGGAGCCTCCATCATAAAGGAGAGTTCACCAATTCCTCTCTACTGCTAGAACTCGAACGTTTACCATATTCTTGTTTTCTCAAAGCAAAGCAAAACTGCACCCTTGAATGTTGAGCATCGGATCTGCCCACAAAAGGTCCATAGCAAGTGGATTGCTGTTTGGTTCGTCCATAGGCCGTTGAATCTGTAGATAAACATTTCAAATATCAGATCAAAAATATACTTTTGTATGGTAAAATTCAGCACCAGAATCTAGTTTTCGCATTTTTTTCGGGTTGAAAAGCAGTAATCGACGCTGATCATCACTACATCTCCGAAGACATTAGTCGTGGGGATGGGAGGGGGGGAGAGGGGGGGGGGGGGGGGGAACTTATATCTCAACAGCATACATCGTTAGAAGCTCGGCAACTACGGGCTGCCCATCCTACGATCTAAATGCCTTGCGATGCCGGGATCACTGGAGGGTGAGAATGCTAACGCGTCGAATTCGGTGTCCCCTTATCTCAAGGCTTTTCTCAGAGGCACTGGGGAGCAGCACCGGGAACTTTGAACAATGTCTTGGGAATTCGTTTCGGGGGGGGATTAAATCCGATAAATTCCACAAGTCCACACCTGCCGTCTTTGCAGACATAGCAGTACACTTTGCAAAGGCACGCTCCGGATTAGGCGCGCTCGCCTGTTCCATCCCGGGGGTAGTAGACAGGCGGACAAGCGTTGATGTCGCGCCCCTTTTGCCGCTTGAAAGTGCGCGACAAAGGCGCAAGGAGCTCGTCCGACCCGCAACTCACACCTTCGTCCGCAAGCCCCACCCTCCGCTGTCGGTTGCCACGTGGCGCTGCTTGAAAAGCGCGGGCGCATTTGAGGCAGCGGTCCCATTGCGACCCAATGTTATTGGCACTGGAGCAACTAGAGTTAGGTTCGTGAAACTCGTCCAACGCGCCCTTCTCTATCCCAAGGTGGAATGCGGCTGAAATAGGGGAGGTCTCTGTGCGGGGCGTAATCGGTGGTTTCGTTTG